GTTGAACCCCACTTAAATCGTTCGTTCGTTCGTTCGTTCGTTCGTCGGTCTCTTCAGACCCGCGACCCGCTGTCGCGCTCGTGTTCGCCACTGATGCGATTTTCGAGCGAGATGCACTTGATAACTCGATTTTAACGGGAAATAAAAATTTCGTTCATTCGCCGTGGCCGAACACACACACACACACACATACACGAGGAAGCTCCAGACGCGCGAGACCGTTGCTACGTAAGTTTTATCAAACGACGCGGCACGATTCGAGCGCATGAAATTGCCGGGAATAAATACCCGCGGAGATGCTCGGCATCGGATGCTCCGAACATTTATTTCGATGGATACAGTCTCGAATTTTTATTAAAGCGTTCGCCGCGATGCCCGTGGGCATCGATCGGCGATACTTGAAACAGTGTTCGAAGTTAACGAGAGCGCCGACGTTCTCGATTTATCGAAAATCTAGTAAATACAGTAAATTTGTCTTCAGCTTGTAAAGAAACATCGACTTTTCGGAGAGAGGAGATACGATTATTCGAGATTCGTGACTCATTTTTATAGTTAACGATTGTTAACGAGTAGAAAAACGAGGCGCGAGGCTCGAACAATCGTATCTTCTCTTCTGAAATTGTCCATTTTTATCCACGAGCTGAAAGAAAATTAGGGAAAATTTATTGTATTTAGTATTCTGCATAAGGATCGATCTCAGCGTTGATTTTACATAAAGATCCTCGATTTAATCAATCTCGAATGAACACATTCCCGGTGGAAATTGTTCACGGGGCTCTGAAATAATTGCCGAAGAAATGTAACAATCTCGCAAACGGATCCTCGAGTTCTCGTTTTCGACGATTCTTTTGGAAAAATCTGGAGCAGAGAGACGTTCCTTACAATTCTGTCCTTCTTAGCTGAATCGCCCCAATGAATATTTCTCCTAAAAACAAAGCATTAAGTTAATAAAATGATTTTTGAATAAGAGAAAACGAAAGATTACGTTTTCGAAACTCTGCGGAGCATAGAAGAATATTTTAGCTCCGCTTAAAAACTAAAAGGCGCGCGATGTTCCAAACAGTTCCAAATACTCTGAAAAGTGGCGAATTGTTATATAAGATTATCTTCAGACAATTATTTCAACGAACGACGGCAGAATTCGTTTCCATACGTCAGGAACGCGCGACGATTCGCGAGCCCGATGATCGGCGAACGGCCGGCCATTTTTCCAGCGCCGCGTTGCGAAAAGTTGAACATTCCGGGCGGACGAAAATCCCGGGTAAGGAAGAGTGGGATTTATGTGTTTTCAAAGTTTCACGGATTTTAGTATCGCAATTATATCGGGGCAGGGGCAGTCGGAGATTGAGTTGAGGCTCATAACTCTTGCCGGTCGTAACGTTCAGCTGCAGACTGCTCAGCCCTGCATTTCATAGGCCGCCAGATGTTACGTACCTACATATCAGCAGGTACCACTTCACGTGCGCATACGTATTCATTACTAAATTACGCCCGCAACACGGTTTGTGCGGCACGGAGGCGCGTTTCGACCGCGAATCGCCGATGCCGCGTAAAACAATGTTGTTCGTTGCCCGTGTTTATTTTGCCGGATCGGGGCCGTATCCGCGGCCGGAACGTTTTATACAATATTCAGGAATAATCCGGCGGAAGGGCCGGCCGGTTACAGCGCGAATTTATTTTCGAAAACACCCGGAGTGCCTTTACTTTCAACGGGGCGGCGCGGAGCGGAGCAGCGCGGAGCGGCGCCCTTTATTGCCTGGACTCACGCACACCATGGACCGAAACCGCCGAATAGCCCGTGGAATTTATATCCGTGATTTTCGTGACACGTTTTACGGTTTTTAAGACTTTACAGGATCGCTCCCGCCGCGCCACCATGATTTCTTTCGCGTTTTTACGGCGTCGCGTAATTCTTTCGCGTGGCCGAGCTCGCGTTGACAACGGAAGCTGAAAGTTCATTGCGACAATTATGCCACGAGTTACACGTGGTGTCCCAAGATTATGGTATTTCCGAGAAATGGGGGGTTTCTGAGGTCATTTCGAGCAACTTTTTCCTTTGCGAAATTGCAATCCGCGGCTTCGCTTACGAATTATTAAGGAAAAACGGCGATCAGCTGATCTCGCCCCTCATTAATAACACGTAAACGAAGCCGCGGATTGCATTTGCGCAAGAGAAAAAATTGCTTAAAATGATCTCGAGAGCGCCTCGTTTCCCGAAAGTACCATAATCTTGGGTCACCCTGTACAGATACAACGTATCAAAAAATAAAAGCGATCGGCTTCCCCGCGACGGTATCGTAGTCGAGAAATTAGAGACTCCGCGCGGCCGTGTCAGGGTAGAAATTAGGGGCGTACCCCCGCGCTGTCGATTCCTCGGTCGAACTTTTTTTCATAAGCAATCCGTATCGATTTACGATAAGTGAACGGGGATGGTATCGCGGCGTGAACGCCGGCACGGGCCGGAAGTGGACGGCGCTCTCTATGTATGGGAAATTTCGCGGGAAAAGAAGGGGAACCCGAGCACCGGGTTCTAAACTATCCGGACACGGCCGGGAAACGACCGAGGGCGAATGAGAACTCTTAGTATCCTATCGGAGGTTTCGCCGGCCTCTCGAACATCAATATCGGACAAGATCAGAACTTAAGGCAATTGCGCACTGATACAACAAAGGGCATCGTCTAACGCGGTTATACCTCGTAAGCGAAATTCTATTGCTATATCCCATCTCGAGCGTCTATATTGGCCGCTCTCTGTGAGAACACAACCGCTCCTCCTTTCTCATCCCACTATTCTCATCATCTTCCTTCGTTTCACTCTCACTCACCCCGGTTCGGCTCGCTCTCCCATCCCCCCCTCGGCCCACCCACGCTCCTTATCCTTTCCACCGACGTATCGGCCTTTCTCTTTCTCTTTCTCGTTCTCTTTCTCTCTATCAATACTCCGACCTAATCTACTTTGCCAACAAATAGTGTTCACGTTCCCCAGACAATGGTTTTCTCTTAGCTGGATACCACCCTCTCGAACTCGGTCCCGCCTACGCCGCCACCGCCGCATCCTATCTATTCGATACACTCTGTATCTTTTACTTTCTTGTGCCGCATCACTTATTCAACGCAACGCCCTGGTAATCGGCCAACGATGACGACCGGGACCGAACCGAGAGACGAATTAACCCCTCGAAACGGCGCTGCGTCTCGTAAGATATAAAATCATCTGAAAAAAATTTAGTTTGATACGTAGGAGTTTGTAGAATTATGAGTTAAGTGTGCCATGGTCGAAATCGTAGTGGGAAATAGTGGATATTTTCGTTTGGAGTAAATTCGAGCGGACGGGGGTGATTTTGTTGGAACGATTAATGTGAATTTTCCATAATTGACGCTCAGATGCTAACTAGAAAAATAATACAATAATAATACTATAATAGTAATATAATAATATTATAATAATAGTACAATAATAATACTATAATAATAATAATAATAATAATAATTAATACTATCATACCTCCTCTTCCCAAATTTTCCATTTTTGCTTAGAAACTGAGGGTTAATTAGAAAAATAATATATGATAATGTGAGGCTAACTAGAAAAATAATACTATAATAACACTCTAATAATAATAATAATAATAATAAATAAAACTATCGTATCTCCTCTTCCCAAATTATCCATTTTTGCTTAGAAGCTGAGGGTCCATTAGGGAGAATTTACTGTACACCGAAAATCGTATTTTTTAAAGGTTTCGCGGAATCTTTCTCGGTGAAAAATCATCTCCAAGAATTTCGAAGATGGTCGATTCCATGTGAAAAGAACAATCGATCCACCCGCGTCGCATGAATTTCCCAGAAATTTCTAAAAAACAAAATTTCCGAATGCGCGGATTTCCGATCTTTCCCGGAATTAAACCGGAAGTATTCCGGCTTCGCGAACGGACTGAAGATTTTGCTAATTTTTCAACGATTTTCGCGGACTGTTCGACCAGAGGGTGCTGATCAGTTTGCTGAAAGGGGAGCGACTTGTCCCCATGGATTTTCGGGTGGAAACGTCCAACGTTCCAGCTGATAACCGAGACGCAAACGGCGCTTTTGTGGCTCGACGAGAAAATTGATCAACCCTTCACCGGCACAGATCTACTTCATCCGCGACGATTCTCCGGTTAATTGATTCCCGCGGTATAGGCGGCGCTTTCGTCGAGCGTTAGTAAAATTAATTGGTGAAGCGAGTTGATTACCGCGAGGTCAAGTCCCCCAGGGACCACTTTCGAAGCTGTACGCGATCCCCTCGGACAATGATACCAGCGCCGAAACGTGTACAAAGAACATCAACCAAATGTCAATCAGCGATCTACGTGAAACCTTGCGCGCTTATAATTTCGCAATAATTATAATTATTTGAGACAATTATAGTATATAATTATATAGGAAAATATCGGTGATATCTATGATATAGGAAAATATCGAAATCGGCGCGATCGATGTTTGAATGATCTTCCTTGCTCTAAGTTTGATCGGCTATTATGTTAAATAATTACATTTTGCATTTGTTGTTGCTTGGTTTTTTTACATTACCTAGATGCAGCAGATTCTCCGGAACAGTTCCGTGCCCTTGGTTTCGTTTTTCATGCCGTAGTTTTGCCAGAATTAATGTTTTTAAACGTCCCTGCAACACCGTATTCGCCGCGTATATGTAAGCGATTGTGGCGCCTCTTGCGGAGAAAAAGTGAAGCTTAGTCGGAGTCCGTACAGCGCCAATTAGTCCGGTGGCAAAACGCTCAAACTGTTCGCCAAAATCGACCGTCGGTAATGTGGCCAACAGTTTGAGCGTTTCGCCGCTGTACTAATTGGCGCTGAACGGACATCGAACGGAGCTTCACGCTGTCTCCGCAAGAGGCGCCACCGTCGCCCACGTATACGCAGTACAAAGAAAGCCTCTCGTTTGTCAAGAATATACCGGTATTGCAGAACACGCGAATTGGAAGTCTATTCTGTACCGGTCTACTCTGTGCCTCGTCTGTGTTCTTAGCCATTCTTGCCACAAATCGAAGAATCCGTAACATCGATTCGGAGACGGGTTTTTTAATCATCCTCAAGTTTTTTTGAAATACTCCCGGCGCAGTCTTCGTTTACAGATGTCATCGAAGATTTCAATAAAATAATTGTAAGACAACGAGAAACTATTCTTACGATCCCACGAGCCTGCAGAATATATTGCGATACAAATACGTTTCGCGTTCCATGCAAGTCTAATTCGTTCGTTTCTCTGCAAGGTCGTGGCACGGATGACCTTTGAACGTTGTATTAACGGCATGTCAATTGGCGATATATTATTCGTTAATAAAGCTGAGTCGTTGAGATCCGTAGATGTTACAGGAACGTTGTTTATCGTTTAAAAGGAACGCGTAGACCGATTTTATATGTGCGCAAATTGTGACGAAGCGCCTCTTCACGGAGGCAGTTAGAGTTAGCGGTCGATAGAAAATAAAGAGTAGCAGGGGGGTGATTGTAGAAGATCCGTACCGAAACAGCAGTGTGAGAGATGGATTTCAACGTGAAGAAATTAGTGAAAGATGCTGGTGCCGCGCTTAGCAGGGTTGTACAGGTGAGCAACACCTGCTGTGATAAGTTAAGAAATTTCTGTTGACAGGGACAAGCTCCCTTCGGTCACTTCTAACCGAACGCTGTCACCTCTGACATTTTGTACTTTTTTTCAACGATGATAATATTTAAAATACAATGACCACGAATTGCCAGTGTTTCCTTTTTTATCTTTCCTACACAAATTCCAGGATCTCGTCGTCCGATTTATTTGTTACTCGTAATGCGCGAACTTGTACAGTCTGTCTATAGTTTAAACTTAATTGCTGAGGTTAGTGAATGTATTTAATTTTTGCGACTGTCTGTCCTCTCCGCTGTACCATTTATCATTCTATCACCTTCTGGTGGTATCTCTTAAGATTAAACATTGTCTACTTTATGGAGGTTCGCTGCGACACAGTCACCGGTTATGAGCTAAATAATTCATCAATCGATGACTCAGAACATATTAAACAACATAGAATGACTAATGCTCGATGCTCTCCTTTATTCGCAAGCCTGTACTTTGATGTTCCTAGGTATTGCGAAGTTGTTAATTAAATTGGAAAAATGTTAAACCGTTTAGGAGAACAAATTGATAACCCGGCGTCCTCATTTTGAAATTATATGAGTCATACGATGGTTAACGTTCTTTTACAGTTAACTGAGGAAACGTTAGGAACATCGGAAAAAACGGAATTGGATGCACATTTAGAGCATCTTGCTGAAAGGGCGAATGCAACTAAAACATGGACAGAGAAAATTCTTAGGAACATGGAGTCTGTACTTACTCCAAACCCAGGTACATATATCGATAATATTTTTGTGTACCAGATCACAATGTGCTTATTTTGAAATACTCTTAACATGTCCAGTTGATTCTATTATAGGCAATAGAATTGAAGATTTCTTTTATGAGAAGATCGACAAGAAGAAGCCTAATAGATTGAGTAATCTAGAATATGTGGGTATGGACATGATAGAAGCTGGAAATGATTTTGGCCCAGGAATTGCTTATGGTATATATACATCATCTGTGACTTAAATTAATATTAAATAAACTGTATTTATGTAAATTGTATTTCATTTCTCTAATGTTCTTATTTAGGAGCTGCACTAATAAAAGTGGGCTTGTGTCAACAGAAATTAGGACAAATTGAGAGAGACTTTATAGGCACTTCAGCTAATTGTTATATACAACCCTTAAGAAAGTTTTTGGAAGGAGAAATGAAAACCGTTAATAAAGAAATGGCAATATTAGAAAATAAGCGGTACGAATTTATATTTATCTTTAAAGACGGATTCACAGTTTTAATGAAAATATTCGTTACTTTTAGATTGGATTTAGATGCGTGTAAGAACAGGGTGAGAAAAGCAAGAAGCATGCTGGGCCAGCAAAGTGTAAGTTCTATTATTTATTGTTTCATTCAATTGTGTGCCTATATACGTTTATCACGTGTTTTGTCCTGTACATTGCTGCATCTAATAGGAGTCTGGCGTATCACCTGAAGTATTACTTGATCAGGTATTAATGAAGCTGATGGTTTTGTCAGCTCAAAAAATGTGGTTAATTATGTTTTGCTTTTTAAGTCTTATGCAGAATCTAAATCAGAGTAAAATAGATGCATTGAATGAAATGAATTTTTAATTTTATTTCATTCATTGCATGATTCATCATAATTCTTCTGTATCTCATATTTAAATTGATAATTGGTATATTTCTTATAGGTATATCCGACATTAATTTTTTATATGTATATATAAACTTTTGTACATTTCTTCTACTCATATTTTATATTTTTAGTTTTTAAAATTAATTTTATTGGAAGTTTTGTACGAAAGACGGAACGTTTACAAAATTTTCTGTATAAACTATCTGTGAAAAATTTCAAATTCGTAAAAACATTAAAGTTTGTTGAACAATTCTATTTAACAATAAGGAATAAAGCTGTATATTGCTCTACTCAGGCAGAGAGGGAGTTAAGGGTAGCACAGTCAGACTTTGATCGTCAAGCAGAGATAGTGAAGCTGCTGTTGGAAGGGGTTTCAAGTTCTCAGGCGGGACACCTACGCTGCCTTCACGAGTTCGTCGAAGCTCAAGCTCGTCATTATGCTCAGTGTCATGCTACAATGCAGGATTTGCAGCGTGAATTAGCTGGGTAAGGTAACAAAATCATTCGTTGCAGTTCAGTCTCTTTAAAATATTTAATTATCCTGCACTATCCCTGTACAGCTATCCCACTCTCTGGTGATCCGAGTGAGTAATGTTTAACAGTTATTGATTGCTATGTCTTCCGTGACATATGGAAGTATTTAGAAGAAGCTTAATAGAACCATTACTCATTCGCAAAGATCATCATGATCTGTAGACGTTTATATGAGTATTACTTTCTAGACCTCTGCTTACTTCTGCAAAGTGGTGTACGTAGTATTTATTTTTCCTTTTTTTTTTTTTTTAAGATATAGCCACATCATTCCGTTGTAAATACCGTAATTGTGATAGTCACAGTGAAATGGTATTTATATTTCTCTTTGTTCCTGCTATCGTGCAGTGCTTCTTATATTTATTTATACCAGTAACATACTCTTTCTATTCTTTATCTTTGCTTGCATGATTGGGATTGCAGGGCGCGTCAGCCGAGTCCTTTGCTGAGAGTCAACAGCGAAGATGTGATCGAGCTAACACCCTCACCCACACAATCCCAAAATTCACCCGTACATCCAATTCTTGCTGATTCTAACTATGTTACCGCTACCTTTGATACCGACGTCTCAAAAGTTTAGTTTTAGGGAGCGTAGACCGGAGATTAAGGGCAATAATTAGTTGTATCCACGAAGGGACTAACGGAGAGAGACATAGGAAACAGACGATTATTTCTGTTGTATAGATACTTGTTAACTATTGCAACATTTCTATAAATATGTTGAACGATATTTTAGTCTGTTAAGCCAATATCGAACTTGTAATTAACGGAGGACAGTCAATAAATTGTATTTAACGAAATGCTTCGAAACTATCATTCTACAAGCAAGATAACTCTTTCGATTTTCATAGAGATTACAGTCGTCACATGAATAACGTGACTAAAACTACGGCTTCGTTTACTTCTACTTTGATATTTCACTAGGTATCGATAAAGTTGTGTAGTTTAATCGATGTTTAATCCTAATGCATGTTATCACGTTTCGTTGGTATTGACACACAATTGTAGAACTTAATGGTTTATGTTCCTATAAAAGTAATGCAATCGTTAACACTAACTCTGTGTATTCCCTAGAATCGTATTCTCTTCGGATTTCTTCGAACAATCTTGTCACAGTGTCTTGTTCATATTATTCGTGTTACCCTATTTGCAAAACCGCTTATGCTTTCCCATATTTATATTAATAACGTTTTTAATTTCAGTTTTATCCAGCATGTATATCATACACAGAAAGTTGCATTGAAAATGAGATATCGCGTGAACTCTTTTGAAATTCTTTCTGAAACGAAATTCTACAAAGAATCTTGTTCCTTATTATAAATTGAAAAATTAACGAGTCAGACGTTACAGATCAAACAATATTTAATGAAGTTATTACGAAAAGTTATCTGAATTTTAACATGTTCATCGAACTTATCCAAATTGTAATTTATCCTACCCAGCTTATCTGGGGGCCCTTATCACTCCACCACTACCCCACCAACTTCCAATGTATCAGCGGAAAATGGTCAAGAACGTGCAAGGGTACTATTTGATTATGAAGCGAGGGATACTAGTGAATTAAGCGTCGATCAAGATGAGGTAACGAAATTTGTAATTTAGATAAAACAGAAGCATGCTCAGAACATAGCCGAACAAATGGCATGACTTGTTACAGAGAGTAAGTTTAGTTTAAAAGCTATTTTCGCCGTAAGGTTTGAACCACTTTTGTTCAAGGAATTTATTTTATATTACACGTGTGCATATGAAATATTTTGTTCAATCGAAGCCGCGCCTTTTTCAAGAAACTTATTACAACAATTAAAAAAAGAAAAAAAATACGAAAAAAATCATAAAAAGTATTAAAAATATGCGAAGCAATACCGGAATATTAAGTTACGCTATTATTTCATATGCATCGATCTAACAATTCGACTAACTTGATCTTACGAAAAATTTTTGTTATTTAATTAGTACTTGTAGTAATGAATTCCGTTAAGAGAAAAGAGATTGTTCGGATGATTAACAGTTGGTGCATTTGTTAGTATACGTAATTTAAAGAGTTATGCATTTTTATGGCTGTATAAATTCAGTGCAATGTTTTTGATTCATTCTTAATTTTGATAGCATATTATTATATGTATACTTGAGAGTTGAGGTTTAGATCCAAGGTCATGACTTATATGAAGTTGTTTTTCAAGAATGTAAGATAGGAGTAGAATGTTAAAAAGGCAGTAATGTAAATAAATTTCTATAGATGTACGCATTACGGAATCGTTGCAAGTTATTGTAAAGTAAATGAAGATATAAATGCGGATTACGCGTATAATACTCATATAGAATTAGCTTAAGTTTCTTATATATTACGGAGTTTGCATTTTTTTATAAAATCGGCATTATATCTCCTTGAGAAATCGTGCATGATATACATATTTTAATTTTAAGTTTTATGTCTGTATATTGGCTTTTCTATTTTTCTTTTTTTTTTGTTAAAATTTGTTCTTGATGTTTTATCACACAAGTTTGTTCTGGTTCGTCTGTATATTTGTTTGGTATTAAGAATTATTGTTATGCATATGCATATAGTAAGTTACACGCGAACGAATGCATATGTACATTTACTCGAACTGTGCATGTATCAAATAAATATATTTCTTTTTGTCAAATGTATCGTACGTGTTTTTATATCCTTAAGTTCTTTGCAGCTTTCCTGGTGTTTTAGCTCGAGCTTTTACCAAACGCATATATCGCCCAACAATAATTTACCCAATTTCACGACACATCTAATTCTATCTTTTAGGTAATTACCGTCTTACAAATACCCGACGACGAAGACTACGTGATGGGTGTAAGAGGAAATCAACAAGGAAAAGTTCCAAAAGTATATTTAGAAATGTTAGTTGTTTGTCAATGAAAATTCACTTAATATTCGTGCACATTCCATTATATTTGAAAGTTTCATTTTACCCTTTAATATGAAATGAAACTGCCTTATGCACTGTCAATATATAAAAAAAAAGAAAGAAAAGTGTTTCATATTGTGCAATAAGTTGGAGGAGATCTCAGTGTTCTTTAAATGTAAATTTATGAAAAGAAAAACTCATTTCCTTATAGAATGTATTTCTCCTTCTCGAAATCAAATATATATATATATATATAAATAAATATTGCGAACTATTGTACAGAAGATAAACTTTTAGCACATTAATAGCATATCAATGAACGAACGGTCAATTTTGCAAAAAAATTATATATACCTTAAGAAAAATTTCTGTAGGCATAAGTATAAATTAAATGCTGCTAAAACAAAAACTTGTACCTATATCCGTTCTATGTTAAAAATCTTCCATGATACAAAATTAATATCTTGTTTTAAATAAAGATTGTTCATTTAAAAAAATAAATTACCAGAGTATTTTGTTTTACGAATTTATTCTTAAATAAAGAAATATAAAATTACTTCTTTTTGGATACACCCACAGTGCGTCCACGGCGACCTGTAGTCTTTGTGTGCTGACCACGCACGCGGAGACCCCAATAATGACGCAAACCTCTGTGAGCACGAATCTTCTTCATGCGCTCCAAATCTTCGCGAAGTTTGGAGTCCAGGTAAGAGCTGGTAAGCTGAAACACAGTAAGAAGTTATTTTTTAAAAATGCCGGAGAAATATATCGTATATCGTAAAAGAAAAACAATACAATGTTGCACACATCATATTATCATATAATTGCCAGGATGTCAGTTAACTTAACAATGTTAACAAGCAACCTGATGTGCAGTTTCTCTTGCACGACTTCCATCTAATTCATATAAAAATTCATATAATTAGTCGTGATGACGTGCTGCATTTGATACAAAAGATACAAATGCTTTGGCACTATTTTATTGCGATACTCACTTGCGAATATTTGCCATCAACAATATCCTTTTGTCTATTCAAAAACCAGTCTGGGATTTTGTATTGCCTAGGGTTGCTCATAATGGTAACAATCTTTTCAACCTGAAATAAACATAATTATTAGATGCGAGTTCCGGATTTAAAAATATTTAGAAAATATTTTATAAACGTATTCTTACCTCTTCTTCGGAGCATTCTCCAGCACGTTTATCTAAGTCGATGTCAGCCTTTTTTAAAACAATATTAGCGTATCGACGACCAACACCCTTAATTGCTGTCATAGCGAACATAACTTTTCTGTTACCGTCAATGTTCGTGCCCATGACACGAAGAATGTGTTGGAACTTCTCTGGAATTACGAGCGACTGGAAAACAGTTAAAATATAAATAAATAACGAAAATCACCATTAAAATCATGTTTGTTATCGTTGAGGTTAACACATGAGTTAACCTATAAATGAATCTGCTGTTACACAATTTATTCATCTTTATTATAATTTATTATTAATAAGAATCTATATCTAAGAGAAACGAGTACGATATTTTTCGTAATCAAGTTGGATAATAATGCAATTGGAAATTATTGAACAGAAGATAAAGCTACTGTATGCTAGATCAATGATGCTTCAAACGTACCATTTATATTTTGTAAAAAATTAAAAAATATTTGCGAATTTCACTACACAAGAGACTACTGTGTGATCTCTAGTTAATATTTTCTAAATTTTGTGTAAGATTCCAATGGAAAATAAAGATTTTACTAAGCATCAAACGAGACTCACCATCTTGCCAATCTGTCAGACACTAAAAAGAGTTTGATCCGGAAACGGAACCGGAATAATATATGTACATTATTCGCCTGAAGAGGGCGACTGAAGAAGGCGGGAATTTTTGAAAGCAAAAGATTTAGTACTACAAGTTCTAATATAGACGACGCCCTATACAAATTCTAGCTTAACATAGTGGCGCCATCTCGCGACGACATGAAGACCTAATTTTGGCGAACAGTTTGAGCGTTTTGCCACCGCACTCAGTGGCGCTATTTTTATGTTTTCACGAGCAGATGATTCGTGCCTGAATTTACATTGTGTCTTATGTCAACAGCGGCAAGAATCATCCGTTCGGTATATATTTCGTTAACAAATCAACTTTTTTTGCATGATATAGATACAGGAGAATCTCCCGAACATTTCTCTATCCTCGTAATATGCTTTAATCCTTTCCATTGCCAAGAAAAAGGCGATTGAAATATTGATTCGAAGAATATTGATTTCACAGTTCTACTTCAAGGACTCCTGGATAGATGGCGCGTCGAGTACCATTATAGGGTAAAATCTAAGGGTTGGTAATTATTTCATATTTAATTCAATTTATAAACGCATTTGTGTCCATCAAAATTTTTAACAGAGAGATCGTTTATCGAACACGGTATAAAATTTCCATTTCTTCGATAATGTTCGACAAACACGGTTACGAATTAGATTAATTATATTGTAATTTTGATTAATTATTATCAATACTAATAAAAATATAAATATAATATTAATATTTATATAAATTAATATTAATATTTAGCGCTATGTCGGTTTATTTGATCCAGTGATTTTGCGATAACAAAATGATTACAAAACGGTATCGCAGACGAGATAACAATAAAATCTTTCGGATATTCGTTTGTTCGGGCGTTCGGACGGCGATTCGAGGACGTAAAATCAGATCGATGAAACTGCCTGTTATCGGAACAGGTCCTCGGGACCTCGTTTTAGAAAAATTTTCGAACGCAGCACAGGGAAATCTGTCTCGCGGGTGTAGTTTCGATAACTCAATAAAAAGCGGAACAGCGAAAACGTAGTCGTGGTGCACGGCATGGGGAGGGTCGTTCTCCAACGGGATACGATTTCCTGCTTGGTTTTCCGTGATTTTCCTCCTTTCATCCCTGAATCCGGCAGGGCGGAGCAAAAACGAGCGTCCAGAGGGTAATCGGGAGGAGGAATTCCGAGGTATGATACCCCTCTGATTCGTTTTACGACGGTCGTTCCCCCGAATTAGGACGGAATAAGAAAGAATTCGTGAATCCGCTGATTTCGACCAATATCCTCCGTTATCCTGTTCGCGTTTAGCCGACTTTAGTTCGATGCGGGCGCGCGTTACACGTAACGCCTTAATAAAATAACAGATCGCATGCCAAACGAACTATCGCAGAGCAAAAGTTAAAAAGCAAAAAAACTGAACGAAGAAGCGCCTCCGATCGCGATTTAGTATTCTCGGATCTGCCGATTTCAATTCCGGTCTCCGAACAATTCTGAGAAGAATTACCCTAATTCGCGCGTTATCGAATCTGTTTATATACAAAGCAAACTGTTAAAAGTATAATTTTTAACGAGTCGTAAGGATAAATCGAAGAAACTATTTCGGAAACTATTTTCGAAGTTAAAATGTCTTCGAGCGAAAAGGAGTTAAATTATGTCCCCGAACGGACGCGACTACGAAAATTAAAATCTTGTCATTAATTAAAAAATTGCGAACAGCATGCGATCTTTATCGAAATCACATTTATTCATTTCGAGAGAGAAGCTCGACCAAAGCTTATTTCCCACAGAATTTGATTCAACAGCAATCATTAACCCTTTGCACTCGAGCGGCAACTCCGAGGCGCTATCAATAATTGCTGTACCATTTTTGCAAGTAATTTTTACATAATTAAATTGGTTTATATTTAAAGAACTGGAAGTACTGTAGTTGCCAAAAGGCTCGATCTCATATGCTTAAATTGCAATAAATCATATAAAATGGAAATACCGCAGATCAGAGAACATATTTTGGAATTAAAATAGCTTCGACTGCAGAGGGTTAACCCTTTGCACTCGAGTGGTGACTCTGGGGCACCACTGAAATTGTTATATCACGATTCAAGATCATTCTTATATCGTCAAAGTTTAAATTGAAGAAATCATTAAAAGTGAAGCCGTTGTGTGAGTCACAAAACCCAATCTCATATGCACAAAATGCACTTTATCATACGAAATGGAAACACTATAGGTCAAAAAGATTGTTGTAGATCTACAGTTAAAATGGCTTCGAGTGCAAAGGGTTAAATCATCGAGCCTCCGGGAATTGTGGATCGAACGGCGAGGGATCGTGATCGTTCCGAGAGTGTTAATGCACGCGTGATACGTGACTGCGTGATGTTTGCAACGAATAAGTGGAAGGCAGCAAGCAACGTTCCAGCGGCACGGGCATTTAACGATACAGAACACCTATGGGCAACCCGGCACGTGCTGACATATGGGCTTTAGGGCTTCGCCGGTTTCCAGCAGTCTCTTTGCGGGGGTGGTAAATGGGGTGTCATCGTGTTAAATGGCCCTGATGCCCGCGGATCCATTCAGGGCATGCCTTTACCGAGTCTCGAAACCAATTCTTGCGGCTAATTTCCACCGTTTATACGTTTAATTGCCCTTTCAAGCCACCTGGACTACCCCCACGACCGCGGGATGCTCGAAACGACTTTATTCGATGGAACCTCGAATTGTTGCTTTTATTGATCCCTGCAATCCATTGGGCTCGCTGAGCGTGCCACCGCTGACAACCGAACGTTTATTTCAACGAATCAAAGGTTTTTAAACGTCGCAGCGTTTTGCTTCGGAGAGGGGGTGAGAATTAGTCTTTTTGGAGATCGAGCAATAGTTTGGTAATATTAGGATCGTATTAATTATATATATAATTAATATAATATAATAATAATATAATAAATATAACATAATAATAATATAATATAATATATATAATATAATTAATATAATATAATAATATAATATATATAATATAATAATAATATAATATAATATAATATAATATAATATAATATAATATAATATAATATAATATAATATAATATAATATAATATAATATAATATAATATAATATAATATAATATAATATAATATAATATAATATAATATAATATAATATAATATAATATAATATAATATAATATAATATAATATAATATAATATAATATAATATAATATAATATAATATAATATAATATAATATAATATAATATAATATAATATAATATAATATAATATAATATAATATAATATAATATAATATAATATAATATAATATAATATAATATAATATAATATAATATAATATAATATAATATAATATAATATAATATAATATAATATAATATAATATAATATAATATAATATAATATAATATAATATAATATAATATAATATAATATAATATAATATAATATAATATAATATAATATAATATAATATAATATAATATAATATAATATAATATAATATAATATAATATAATATAATATAATATAATATAATATAATATAATATAATATAATATAATATAATATAATATAATATAATATAATATAATATAATATAATATAATATAATATAATATAATATAATATAATATAATATAATATAATATAATATAATATAATATAATATAATATAATATAATATAATATAATATAATATAATATAATATAATATATATAATACAATTAATATAATATAATAATATATATGGTATTTATTATAATATTAGGACATGGAGTATATTTTATACTTCAATATTTGTTCAATATGTAATTTCCAAATGGATTCAAAGCAATTTAAATTAACCTTTGCACTCGAGGCTATTTTAACTGTAAATCTAAAATCATTTTTTTAGAAAATCGAAGCTGTCTAATAATGATCCGTAAACGCCTGGACTCGGCAATATAACATTTATTAAACAATGTAACACAGTAAGTAAACGTTGCTCGGTGGCTTTTCGCGCGCGTTTCGCCAGACGGACGACAAAGGTTATGTCATCTTATAGTTCCGGCTGTCGTAACAGTGTTTTACAACTTCACAGTCAACCCGATTTGCCGCAACGCGATCCGAGGGTTCGGTGATCGACGTTGACGCTTCCCTTTTGGCCATAGTTCGCAATTATAGCGACCGCTGCAGTTTTACGACCGGGAGCCGGGATGTTCCCGCATCGTTTCCACAGCTAAAAAATCCTCGGCCGAGGATTTTTCTCGGCCGAAAGGAGCTCTACCGGCGGAACGCGTAGCAATGCGGTTTTATGACGGTGAATGAAGTCGTTTTCTCCTGTGAACACAGGCCTCAGTATAGATCATTTTTCTGTACCTGCATCTTCGTCGCCAAGGTCGTCTACCGTTTCCGAAAAAGTCGGCTTTCCAATCGGCTACTGAACGATACCCTACCTGGCGATACTCTTCCGTCAGGCAACCCCGATTATTGCTCGTCTCCCTTCCGAAAACATGGCTGTCATTGTTAAATTAAACAATTCCTAGCTTCGCGCGTCGAAGAAAAATTTGGCAACATCGAACAGCACGATTTTACGTATATTTCGCGATCGAGTTGTTCGAGATTCATTTAATCGCGTTTGGCTAAACGAAAAACTGTAAGTTGATTTTAAATTGTACACAAAATTTTTATGATAAAAATTTATTCTGAATTATACAGAAATTTTTCTGATAGAAATTTATTCTGAATTATACAGAAATTTTTCTAATAGAAATTTATTCTGAATTATATACAGAAATTTTTCTAATAGAAATTGATTCTAAATTGTACGAACATTTTTATGATAAAAATTTATCTTTTATAAGAAAAATTTTGTATAAATTCTGATGCAGTAATTACAACGAGTCATCCAGTAATTATCTCGAGAAGATTCGAGATACAAGTTT